GTGATATAAACTTCATAAATATCAGTAGTCATTTTATAAGTGGAGTATGAGGAAGTCTGTTCTAAAAGTTCAGACACTGTGATATAACTATACAGAATTATAACATAACCATTTTCCTTTTCTGAATTAAATGCAAGTACCTGGATAACTTAGATAACTCAAGCGTTCCTCATCACCCGCGTAACATCATTTAAATGTAGTTTTAGTAATGTATAAGATATATGAAGAATGTTTTATTTAAAGAGAAACACAAGTGCATACAAAGGCAAAAAGTATAGTAAGGTGTAAAAGGAAACAAAAAAGCATAATCTTTTGAAAGGCAAAAACTATTCAAATAAACAACAATTTTTGGAGAATCTAAGAGTCAAAACTCAGATCTGCAAAAACATTCTGAGCATATACATGTGTGTATGAAATACCGAAAGGCTCAAAGAAATATTCCTAGAAGCAAACTATTAAGTAGAGAATTTGGGGGGCCAGGGATGTAGCTCAGTGGCACAGCACTTGCCTGGCAAGTGAGAGGGCCCTGAGTTCAATTCCTGATACCAAAAAAATAAAATAAAAAATAAAAAAGATTTTGTCCAGTTCAAGTCTCCAATATAAGTAGACACAGTATACATACATAAAATACCATAGCTCTCAATTCCAATGTTAATTACAATTTCTTTTTGTTGAGAAAAAAGACCTAACCATTCTGCACATGGATAATTATTCCAATAATCTCTTATTAAATGCTTGTTAAGTGTTATTAAATATTTATTATTCCATTTTACAGGAGGCATTTCAATAACACCATGACAGTAAGGATGAGGTAAACTCATTCTATTTGGATATTTCCACAACTCGAGCATATTTTATTCATTTAACAATTATTTGTTGAGTGTTCACTCATTTTTTATGACCTTAAACATGAATATTCTGCTGTATTAGTTACTCATGTTAAATTTTTAGGAGTATAACTTTGTGAAGAAGACACACAAAGATTTTGGGCTTTCCTCCTTTGAGCTCACTGTTTTTCTTCATCCCATCTTTTCTCGGGCCAATCAACCTACCAGCAGGATATCAAAAAACTGACTTCTCCTGAATCTTCCTAAAGTGAATCACTACTCTAGAAATATTAGTAATGTCCACTGAAGGGGGCGTATGTGTGTGTGTGCGCGTGCACGTGCGTGCGTGTGCACACACATGCACATACGTGTTTATGCTAGGCTGGCCTTACTTACTACTTACTTTTTTTATGCTAGTGATGAAACCCAGCACTCACCTATGCTAAGCATATGCTCAACTATTGATAATACAAATGAAGTCCCTGTGCTGGCCTTCTACTGACGAACCCTTATTTATCAACCTGAGCTATGCCTGTGACAGCAAGAGGAAAATGGAATCACTTAAGGGAAGAGTTAAGTAATTTACCAATATTTCACAATACTTATACAACTTGGTTTAGTTTTGAGCCCAAGACAAACGTTTCAATAAACACTTCATGGGCCAGTATAATTTAGTTAGCCTTGATAAACTCATTCCCAGACTTGCCCCAACCTAACTTTCTGCCTGCTGTTTTGCCCACGTACTTTTAAAATTCTGTCTCGCTAAGTCCTTTCCATATTCCTCGAAGTACCTATCATCTCATGATGTATTCCAAAATGCTATTTTTTCAGGCTGACATACTCTACTTCTCTATCAATGACTTTCTTTCAGCTTTTGAACCCAGCTCAAATTTTGTTCCTTGGCAAAACTTTAGCTTACACATTGTGTTGTTAATAATTTGTGTTACCAAGTTTTCAACTTCTTTATGAATCTCGTCATTCTTTTCTCTCTCGTTACCAGATCACAGGCTCTGTGGAAGTGGAAAATTCTGTTTCCATTTGTGTTCCCAGTACAAAACACAGTACACCAAGAACCTATCAATAATTGGTGAATCACAAATAGTCTGTTTAAAGCAAGCACTCAATAAATGTGTGAATAATTTCAGTAAGGACATGTTAACATCTATTTCATCTGCTCTTGGTAAGTCTGAAAATGGAGTGGGATGAACAAGGCCTTTTCTGAGGGTATACTACTACTTCCTTTGGGGTCCCCCTGATGAGTGCTGAACCTAGTGCTCACCAACTAGCAAGCTCTGAATCTGAGAACCACATGTATTTGCACTGAAATATCACTTCTCTCTCTTCTTAAAGTTGATATGGAAATGATCTTCAAAATACTGTATAAATAGCATAAAGTTAAATACTTCAGTTTGGCTCTCTTTGTATTACTTTCTCACATTCACAATCTACTGTTATTAATTACATACATATTTTGGGTTCTCCTGAAAACATTTCATACTACTAATTAGAATATATTTAAGCAAGTTATATTAACTACTGGTATTACATGGAAACTAAAATAAATGGAAATATACTTCCATAGGCATCCAAGTAAGTACTGTAGTACCTCATTTAGCTAGCATATTTAGGTTCCCCTTAAACTATAAATTATTTATCTAGTATGATCAAGGAGTAAGGCACTTTAGAAACACGATTTTACTGGAAACCAGTTTTATAAACATCCATATGTTCAAGATTTTAAACATTCTCAATGGATAATTATCACATAATATAGAGTTAGTCTGAAAAAAACAGCATGACAAATATAGCACCACTTTTTCTGAATGATTCAGGATCATTACTATCAGTGTTGCTTTCTATATTATGCACCATCCAGAAATATAATGGTACCCTTAAGGGCTATTAATAAACGTATGGCTGTATGCCTTTGTACTAAGTGGACTCAGATTATTTTTATGATTCCCTGCCTTTCATTTTCTCTGTTTTCTCCCTGTACTCATTGACATTTTCACCTCTTCTTCTTTTAATCACTGTGTTCAGATTGGTTATTTTTCAGAAAACTAGATTAGAACCTGCCAATGGTTAAATTCTCCCAGAAAGCTAAATGCATGGATTCTGTGACTGCAATTTTCTGGCTAGGCATCCTTTCCTTTCCTTTTTTATCTTTTGCAGTCCTAGGACTGGCCCAGAGCCTTTGCACTGGTCTTATTGTATTTTTCTAATTAGAGGAGAGGCTTGCTAAGTAGTTAAGTTGTCCAGACTGGACTCAGACTTGCATTCCACCTGCCTCAATTTCCCAGAGTGCTGGGATTATAGGCCGTGTGCCACCATGTCTTGCTTCCTTCTCATTATTTTTAAGACCACGAAATGGGTACACGGTTTTAAAGTAGTGCTACCTTTCACATATATGCACGTTATTCTATAACTTTTACTCAAGAATGATTAGTTTTATTAAGATAAATCTTAAATTAACTGTCAATTTATTGTTTAAATAAATGAAAATTATGGTTTGTAATTAATTCAAAAGTTTAAAAGCCTGAACATAAACTGTATAGTTAGTATGGGCATACTTCAGTGTCACCAAATTGCAGATAAATATTTTTCTTCATTTATTAACTTTTAATAAAGTATTTACCATTAGGTTCTAGCATAATGGTATAAAAACATCAAATTCTAACTGAATCTTAAATTCAACTAGTATATGATTAAACTCTGGAAGTTTCACTATAGTGGTATCTGCTTCATCAGGAAAACAGGAAAAGTAAGGGAAAGGGAAAAAATGCTCTTCCCATTCATAAAGGAAATAAAGTATAGATTGCTATGTCTATGAAACAAAGAAATTTATTATAAGGCACTAACTATGATGTTTTAAATTTCCTGCAATAATTTGAGAAGATTATTAATCTAATACCACTTGTAATCTTTAAAAATGAGAAAATTTACAAAACTTTGTAAGGTATTACAAGGACAGATATGCACAAAATGTATATATATGCCCCTAAGATAGAAGGGGAAATTGTGTTGCCTGCGGTTAACATAAAACAAAACAGCAATTTTAACTTACATATAAATATCAGTTTATATGCTTCAAAAAGTCAGTTAAATTTAGAAGGTCATTCCAACTTAAAAAAAGTATTGGAATAAAGAAATAAAGAATACAGCATGGGGCTGGGGATTTAGCTCAGCGGCAAAAGCGCCTGCCTGGCAAGCGCAAGGTCGTGAGTTCGGTTCCCGGTACCGGAGAAAAACCAAAAAACAAAACAAAAAAAAAGAATACAGCATGTAACTCAGCTGAATTAAAAAGAAAAAAATTTTTTTTCCCCAAATAGAAATACCTATTTCTACTTTACACTGATTTTTAAAAATTATACCTAGAATAATGACCAACTTCTTGAAGCAGTTCTTTTCAAGTATAAATTTTAGTATATGTTTAAAAAGTAAACATTCTTAAAAAGTAAACATTTCTTGCCCAATAAACGAAGAAAAGAAATGACTTAAAACCAAGTTACTCAAAGTTATACCACAAAGATCCAAAACCAGGCCTCTAGCTACTGGCCAGGTAACCTGATCAACTATATCCCTTTCATCTCAGTATACTTTTGAGCTAAATGTTGATTCTCAGTACTGCCTGATCAGTTTAAGAAGTAACCTTTCAGGATATTTCTTAAACACTTACATTGTGTCTCTTAAACACTTATACTGCTTAAGATAACTTAAGCAAAACACAGGCCAGTTCTCAGGATTAAAATTCACAACTGTCTAATTCTTGGTGAATTTGCTCTGCAACTCTATGAATCTTACCACTCTCTGCTTATGATTTAGCACTGGAAAAAAAAAAAATCCCCCAAAAAAGTCCTACCAGTATCTTTATAGAAATGTAATAGGTTTTAGCTAGCAACTTTAATAAACGGACATCTGCAAAGATTTATACTCTATAGGAATTCATATGTAATGCACTTAATGTAACAATCTCTAAAATTAAATAAGCCTTATGCTGGAAGTAGTGGTCATTAACCACAGTTAATCTGTTTAAGTTGATAACTCTGCCCTTTAGCCTCAGTATTGTAAGGAAACTCCAGAGGAAGAAAGTGTTCGGATTCCTTAGTTCCTGTCTCTAACCCTCAGAAGAAAGGAGAAAAGTAAAACATTCTTCTAGAGAAAAGAAATACTTACTGGTACTTTGAAGGGTGAGGTATTTGCAGTGTCCATGGAACTGGGTTTCTCTGATGTACTGGTCCCTGAGATACTCCGTCTACGGGGGGACCTTTCTGCTGGTACCTCTGGAAAGAGGGTGAAATTTGAAACACTGTTAAGAACCCAAAATTTAAGATCTTTCATTAAATTGCAAAATTACTGCTTTTTTTAACAACAACAAAAAAAAATCCATTTGTTTTAAAGGTGTATTACATTCCCTCTCAATATAATTTGTCCCTATCTTTGTGGTGTGTGACCTACAAAGACATTGGAGAGTTGGTCAGAGTTAAGAATCTGCTTTAGTGTGACAACTTATACCTTTAAATGTGCACACATAAAAATAATTTCCTCTGAGCTATGACTAGTATCTTTAAGTTTACTTAATATTTGCATCTTGTAGTGTATAGATCAGCAAGGTAGGCATTAACAGAATCAAAATAAATTTCTAAAATTCTTATGAACAAAATATGTCTATTGTTACACATGATTTGATGGTGTTTGCACAAAGGTCAAAGTTCGGATCTGTGCAGATAAGATGATTCACCAGACTGCAACAAAAGGGCCATTGAGAAGACTGAAAGCTGCTGCCAGAATAAAATAATATATATGCCTATGCAGATATAAAAATAGATCAGCTTCTCCTTGTTCTGGCAATATGACCTTACTGAGATCTTACTCTGGAATCTTAAATTTGTTCAAACTGACCTAAAAAACTTAAGATTTTAAAGATGATGTGATATCTCTAATTTAATTACTATAAACTGTAGTAAGGCTACATTTTTAAGATTTTTTTCAGAGTGATATATATACACACACATATATATGCACATACATACGCAAATATAGATGATAAATACATACATATTATACCTTTATCACAACTGCTTCCCATCTCCACTTCAAGTGACAGACATATAGGAATCCAGCTTCTCAGACAACATTAGATAATCTCAACATGGACAAGAAAAAAAAAACCCACATTCTAAAAAAAGTATTCTGTGTTATCTTCCAGATCTTAAAAAATAAGATATAAATCGTGACTCCGGAGACTGACATTTTGATTCCTGCTGTTCTCCCTTTAAGATAGATGCAGTTTAAACTTCCATTTCTGGCCTCCTGGCCCCTGGGATCCGTGCTACTTCCACTTAAGAGAAAGCGTTTTTTCCTCTCGCTCCCTCCCTGTCTTGCTCTTCCCCCTCCCTCTCTACAGCTTGCAGAGAGAGAGAGCAAGTGAGAAAGAAACACACAGGACTGCAGCTATTCATTCAATCAATCGTTCGAACTGCACATCCTCATTAGTTACTTTCAAGCTATTAACAGATGTCCGACCACTGTCTCCCTTCAGTTACAGAAAATGTCACTGTATTACGCTAATCTGCAGCAAGAAAAACACTTATTGAAATTTATATTCAGCTTGTGCTAAAAGGACACCATTTTATACAGACCCAGGAATGCACACAAATCAATTTCCCCTGTGAAAACCCAGTTACCCTATTACTATTTGCATGCCGGACACTAATTTTCTTTTTCATGACTAAACATATCTTCTGTGACAACTTGACCAGTAAGACGTAAGCTAAATTGCAACATTCCTAATGACTGAGAAGTCGACATCACATCCTATATGCCTGTTCTTGAGCAGAGTTCCACACTATTACTGCATTTTAAAATTATGACCAATAACTGTAGTCTCTCAACTTTTCTCTAACCACGAGTGGGTAAATGAGCCTTAATGTACAAAACCATTTTCAGAATTAGGCACACATGACTTCTAATGCTCGTCTCTGAAAAATGGCAGTATAATTAGCTCCGATTCATGGAACGGCACAGAGGAATTTAAGCAAATCAGTTTGTAGGAGCACACAACAGCCAGACCTTCAGACTTCAAGAATAATCAGACTGTTCAAGTGAGGTGATTCTATGATGGGAGATAGGGCACACGGGGAGAGGAGCTGCTGAAGGTAGAAGAAACCTCATCTTTTTTCTGATAATTATCTATAAAGGTACTGTGATATCAAATTAAAAAAAAGATACTGCATATTACAATATAGATATTTTAGTCTCTCAGTAATTGACAGTGAGCCCAAACTGAGAGAAACATGTTTCATTATGTAGGCTAAAACAATCTAGTGAACAGGTTCCTTAATATGCAATGTTCTGGCTAAGGAGAAAAATTAAAACTCATTGCTTCACTTTTTTCCCCCAATCATCTAATGGTAGTTTTCAGGCAGATGAACTCAATGCTTCATCTGAAAATTATACTAGCTAAAGTGAGCAATCACATTTCAATCACATTTCTAATAAACAGGATACTATACTTTCTCTATTTTCTTTCTGTATCATGGGAAAAAAAAAATCACAACTCTGTTGTAGCTTTTGGGATGTTATTATGTCCAGAAAGAAGAAATGAAACTATTCTTTAAGACTGAACTGCCACCAAGGAGAAGGAAATGAAGCTAAGTCAAGGAGTGAAGAGGACTGCTTTACACTATGTTGATTTCTCAACCCTGCACAACAATACTACTTATCTTTTAACATAGACAAGATCTTTGAAATACCCAGATTCTTTAGTTCTCAGAAGATTCATCCCCTAACACCCAGTGTATTCTTAGAAACAAGGTAGCAGCCTTAGTGAGAACAAAATGGACAACCTGCTGGATTAGTCACAGGCAGCTCAACATATTAAACTGCTCTTGCTACCTTTAACTTTCAATCTACATGCAGAAACGAGAGTTGCAATTCCCCCTTAAAAGTACATTTCTGCTAAGTTGGTAGAACAATCTCTGCTAGTTCCAGCGGGCCAAAATTAAATAGCTTTCTCTCTCCTTCTCCCACTCATGCTACATACCATCATGTTGCTTTTTTCCTTCCAGTCCAGTGTTCCTTTATTTCTTTTTATTTTTATCTGCTGTAAAATTAGTGTTCTTTTCACAGTCAGAGTACATGAAGATTGATCAAGTGACTAATTACACAGTGCTAGGGGTTTGAACCCAGGGATGTTACATTAAGTGTTGCATCAGTGAGCTACATCCCCAGTCCTTTATAAAATTTTGAGACAAGGTCTCACTAAATTGGCCAGGCTGGCCTCTATCTTGCAATCCTCCTGAGTAGCTGGGATTACAGTGGTGCTCCACTGCCCCTGGCATAATCATTTCTAAATATGCTCATCAATAACTGTAAGTCTCTCTAAGACTCACCAATAACTGTTACAGATGCATAAAATTATTTCAATAGGTACAGGTCTGAAACTGCTTCATTCACTTTCTCATCCTTTAAAATATATATATTTTCATCTTTGGATTGAAAGGTAAAAGGCCTGGTTAAGTTTTAAATTTATCTCATTGGGTAAGAACTAAGATGAGGTGACAACTTATAATGATGAGAGATAACCTCAACATAGCTCCACATTGGATGATGTATTGAATATCTTGGTACTTTTCTTGGCACCTCTACCAACCATCTCTGTGATTCTGGTAAAGCCATATTACCATTCTTGTCCTGATCTTCAGAATTTATTGAACTGGTTTATTAAGATCAATCAGAGAAACAAAAAGATTAATGAGTTTACAGGTGCAAAATTAGATTACTGGAAGAAAGGACCTCCCTTATTCCAAAGTGTAATAGTATTATAATGAATGCCACTTCCTCAACAGATATGTTTTCCTCTATGTCAACGTGCTTTCTTTGAAAAGCATGGCAAAGAAATTGACACCTCAATATTTATAGCAGCAAAGATACTTTTGGTGGTGCATGCGTCTGTCCAACAAACACAAGTTAACCTTAGCCTTTACACCCTAATACCGTAGTGTATTCATGATCTTTAGTTCACTTGGGGAACAAATGCTAAAAAATTCCTTGATCTCTTGTAAGGAAAGAAAATAACTGTGTATTTGGGAGAACCCTGAGTAGTAGTTTTCTGGAAGACAGGAAATTTTAAGATGTTATTATTTTCTTATTTCTGCATTTGTTAACATTTTACAATAAAATATATTGTTATAATTTATTTTTGTTTAAAAATAGAGTATTTTTTTAAATCACAGATTAAAATTGCCCAATATACCCTCTGTCTATGTAGTATATGATAGGTGCTAAAATTATTTGCTATATGATTAAGTATAAGAATGTGAGCTGGGCATGGTGGTTCATGCCTGTAATCCTAGCACGTGGGACCCACAGGGTGGGACTCTGGGCCAGTAGGTGGAGGCAAGTAATACGAGCTAAGGTGTGAGAGGAAATGGGAAGAGCGCTCAAATCCAGTGAGCTGCATAGCCCTACATGGACTTCAGCTTTTCACTCTGAAATGAAAAACTACCTGGTCAAATATATTCTACTAAAAGTAAAAACTCCAAAAAAACTAGTATTCTTTTATTATTTTCTTTTCAGGATTTTGAATAATGACTATTATTCAGAATAAATATGGAAAATTATTATGTTTGGAAAAAAGAGTAAAGGGAAGTATTTATCATATTTACTGACAGGTTCCCAAAGCTTCTGAAAAATACCTTAAAAAAAAAAGTGTATGTTATATAATGACACTGAGTATCCATTAATTTCACTATTCTGTTCAGTTTAATTTAATCAAAGTTTATACCAGATCATATGCATAATTAATATAACAGAGAGATAGTCTGATAATGTCTAGTTTTTAGAATTAGTTATCAGTTTAAAAACACAGAAAATGATTTTAAAAACTTTTTAAAAGAAAAAAGATGTACTACAAAATCAATTCTACCAGTTATGTGAATAATTTGCCTAGAAATATTTTATGACAATTTTAGCTAATACTGAATGTTTGTTATGGGCTAAGCACTCAGTGTAGTCTGTTTTACATAGTCCTTGGAACAGTTATTGAAGTAGTAACAATTAATACTCCTTTTGATGAAGGTGAAAACCACAGTTAAAAGGAATAACTTTAGCAATACTAAAGTTTAGGAAATTCACCAAGAAAGGTAAATAAAAAGTTTTAATTTGGTGAATGATAGATACAAAGAGGGAAAATATCACAGCAACATTCTCAAGGTAAGAGAAAAACACTGTGTGTTCACAGATCTAGCTGATCTGGCATATACAGTATGTCTAAACACTT